AAAAAAAATTTATTTTAATAACACCTTAAATTATGTAAAAAAATCATTTTCTTTACAAGGAACCAGCACAATGGGACCAGATGCTTCACCCTCCTAGGTCCTAGCTCTAAGGCTTGGAGGCCACTAAGTTGAGACTCGAGAGACGAGAGTTCAACTCCGAACGTACGCTTGCCAAAATGCCCCTCCGGCCTCCCCCCAAAAAGTTGCATGTTTTCCCTGTTTTTTTTTTTTTGTTAAATAAAAAATAAAAGCAAAAACATTGGTTGTTAAAGGGTTTTTTAATATATTTTTAGAGTTTAAAAGTATCTTTGCATCATAAATTTATATAAAAAAATTTAAAAATTAATATTGATTTCAATATCATTGTTATATTGATAGATTTAATTAAATGATTAATAAATTATATATCAATTTTTATTTTTTTCAAAACTTTTAATATGTGTTTTTAAAGTAGAAGTTAGAAAAACTTATTTTTAAATACAATCAATCAAAAAAGAAAATAAAGATTATATTTAAAAAAAATTATTATGTTACCTAAACTGTATTAAATTATATAACAAATACTTTTAAATGAGAGATAAATCTCTTGATATTGAGAATTCTGCCTCCATTTAGCTATCTTTATTTTATAGTTTAACATAATACAAATTATAAAATAAGAGTTTTTTTTTTATTTTGTAGATCATATTTTGTTTATATATACATTTTTTTAGCCAACCACCAAAGCAAATGGTGTTTTTATTTATTTTTTTCTTTTGTGAAAGTAAAAAGTTATGTTTAAGTGGCATCACATCTAAGTTAAATGGGGAAAAGAGTTTTCTTTTATTGTTTATTTTAAAACGAAAAAAAATGTACTCACTTTATTTTTTATTTTTTTTTAACAAGGTTACAAATATGGAGGAGGGGTGAATCGAACCCCAGTTTTCGGGCTGGGGGATGCACCTTACAAATCGGTCTATGGCTGTTGGACCGTGAGACCCAAGTGCTATTTTTTATTTTTTTGATTTTAAGTTATACAATATAAAATATTTTTCTCATATTCTTTAACTTATTTAACCTATATATTATATAATTTAGATTTAAAATTTTTTAACAAAAAAATTACTATTAAATTATTAAAATTATTAACACTCAACTTTTAAATTAAGTAAATCCGTCTCAAATCATATATTTGGCCAAGTACAATTTATCTTAACATACCAACAATCTATTGATCCGAGTAAAAAAAATTCGATTCTCTTTGAACAAAATTTTAAATTCAAGTATTATAAATGGAGAAATAGACATTAAGAAAGTTTCCTCTCTAATAGGATTCGACATTACTTAATTTCAAATCAATTAAAATTTAATATAATTTTCATATATCGAAACATTAATTAAAAAAAACAATTTATCTTAACATGTCTTTCTTCTCCACAAGCAAGGTCCACTTCATGACATAAGGTAAAATAATAATAAATAAAATGAAGAAGAAGCAAGGTCCACGCACCGCCATTCCATGACGCAAGGAAGGAGATAAAAAGCAACGGTGCCTATGTAAATCAATCATCTGACCTCATATGGAAAGAAGGAATTATATGAAATGGCATTTGATCATGTCAAAAAGTTTTACGTAAATTGTGTTAATTATTAAATACTCTATACCATAAACATGAAAGCATATTTAAGGGATAATCTGTGGTTTAATACTTCCTCAATCCCGCCGGCCCATAATAATAAATACTGTATTTTTTATTTAAAATTTATCTTAACAATATATTTGAATTAAAAAAA